GACTGGCACACATGGCCAATGCAGGCATTCCCTAACTCCCACCCCATGGATTGCCATCTCTGCTAATCCTACACACCACAAAGCATAATTTCAATCCAATGCATCGTTGTCTTGTCCATTGACATTGGTTACACTCCTCTGACTAAGAACACAGTCCCTCATGCACCTGCTCCCCAGGGCTTCCCAAGGAGCAGGCACAGCTGGGTTCTCTCCAGCCACTGCAGCAGGGAGCCTGGTGCCAAGCCATGCAGGAATTCATGAATTGCAGTGAGATTGTGGCCCCTGTATGCATCCAGCACGTGTTCAGCCATGAAAAAGCACATTGCAAAAGGTGACTTTTACTGAGCAACACTGAATTCCTTCCTGAAACAAACAGGTAAAGGAGTGAGAACAAATGAGGGTAGAAGATATGCTCTCTGAAGTCAAATTAATTTTAAAGAACTTACACTTTTGCTAAATTCATAAAGAATCAAATGGAGAGAGGGAGGAAACCTCATGTGATTCCAGAGAAAGGAAATGGGAACCCACATTGCTCATCTGTGAGGAAGAGTGGAAGGGAGGCTCATTTTCTTAATGAAGGTCCTGGTATTGTCCAAGCAGCTCAGAGTGGCCAGAACAGGAGCTGGCTCTGCAACCAGAGCATACAGTTACATGAATATTAGCAAATGAACTTGTTTTCCCCTTTCCCCTTTGGTTTCTACCTCAGTGCCACACAATGCCTGCTGTGATCCAGGGGAATCTGCTATTGTTCTGATGCACCTGGGTGTGAAGGGAGTCACAGGGTCTGGCAAAGGAGCCTTCCTCCCTTTCCTACTTCATCCCTTTTACCCTGGAGATAATCCCTCCTCTGCTGCCTCTGGCCTCAGCGATCCAGTTCTGCATTCCTGGAATGTAGCTGGCTGGTGTTCTCCACATCTTTCCCCTGACCTCTTAATGCCATTTAATCTCCTGGAAGAAGAGCGCTGCCCTACAAAGCAGAGTTGCTTGTTCTGTGTGTCCAAGTGCAGACTGTGACTAGGAAAAATGAACACATTCATTTACAGCAAAAGGGTTCAAAACAGCAAATAAGATGGCAATTTCCATGCTGTGGCCTGCAAGAGTTTAACAGCAGTCAGAATGAGCCAGGGAGAGAACCCAGAGAAGCCTTTCCACAGTCAGACAAGCTGCTTCAGTACATTAGTGCATTTTCCATTTGTTTCATAGTTTTTTACATTAGTCCCCAGAGCACTGATTCTCTGTAGTTTGCATCAAGAGTGGAACATGATTGAATCTCCCTACTAAAGATATATGTGGAAGAGTCTTTTGTATTTTCTTAAGCTTTACACCTTTTGGTATATAAATGGAATTAAATATCCTATTTGCTAGTAAATAAAAACAAGCCATAGACAACATAAACCCAGCTAAGCTGACAAAAGACATTCTAATTATAATAGACACAATTAGAGAGCTGTACAGAACTGCCAGGATCACTTGCTTCTAATGAAATGATTCCCTTTCCCAACAAGTGATGTTTCTGGCAGCTTATCATTTGCTGGTTTAATTGTACTAAATCAGGTGTGCTACTGACTGTGGGAAAGCTCCTAAGGAGGAACATTCCTAAGTGTAGGTTTGATTTTGAAGCCCTTGGGCTCATGCTGTGTGCTCACACCACCCCTCCCAGACCAGTGGGAAGACTGGGCACAGGCACCAATCCTGTATGAATGAACACTGTGGGTCCTGCCAAAGTAGCCCCAACAGCTGCTTGTTTGGACAAGGAACCTGTTCAAAACAGTCACCATGACACTGTGTTTATTCTCCAAACAGCTCAAAGACAACACAGACACATGTGCTCTACCTAAAAAGTACAAGTGTGGGCATGGAAACAAGAGGCCCAAGCCCCGAGTCCCACATCACCTGCATTAGTGTCCCATTCTGCCCTGGTCAGGGCTCACTGGGCTCCCAGGGCCTGCCCTGCCTGGCACACTGGGAAGGATCCCGAGGATAGCTCTGGCAGCAGAATATGCAGCACACGTTCAATGCTTTAAGGACATTTTGGTCAGCTTTTAAGGCAAAACCAAAAGAAAGTAAGGCATAGGATTCATAGAATCATTAAAGTTGAAAAGGACTGGTAAGTCCATCAAGTCCAACCATCAGCTCAGCACCACAAGAGATGTTCTCTGTAGCACTGGATCTTCCATAATAATTAACCTTACCCTTCCCCCAAACACAGAGCACTACTCAGAACTACAAACCTTCCATTTGCATCTTGGCCTTGGCTTGAAAATTGTTCCCTCTTCTCCCCACTTATTAAACCCTGAGCTGCCTGTCCTGCTCCTGCTACTTGTTGAGTACAGTTGCATTGTCCCAGAGCCCGTGGTGATAGTTCCTGTATTTGGTTGATGCAGGGATCAATAAGGAAGGTACACCCTGGATAAAGCACGCAAAGTCCCACCCAGGAAAAGCAGTGGTCCCAGCCTCCCACGGTGGTGTCTTGCTAAGAACACTCTGTTTAGTTCTTTACTATGCTGCCCCAGGCAATCTGGCTAAAATCCTTCTTTTCACCATCAAGAGGAGCTTTCCCACAATGTCTTAGTATTACAGAAAGCGTCATTAAAACAATTCCATAATAAACAAGGCTCTCCAATGGTGCTTGATCACCACCCACCAAGATGAGCCAGAACATACAGAATCTCCCTCAATCAGGTAATTACTGCCAAATTTTGGTGAGCCATCAGCTGAGGGGCCGTGCTTTCACAGGCATATCAAGATATTTTACTGATATTTTTTGTAGCCTAACAACTGCAGATACACAACAGTGTTTGGAAAAGCCAGCAACTCCCTCACTCTAGGGTGAGAGATAATGAGTTAAAATTAAAGGTTGTTGCTGGCTCGCTAGCCCATCCCCCTTTAGCTAATCTGTCATGTAATGAAGAGAAGCACCCAGCACAGGACAGCTCGCTGCCGGCTCACTTACAGCGAGCTGATTAAGAATGTTCAACCAACAGCAGACTGCAGACCTTTCCGAGGAAAATAAATAGACTGTATGCAAATGTGTTTGTCACTTTGACAGCACGTCTCAATTAAGGCCCGCGCGGCGGCGGAGCGCTGCAGCAGCGCTGTGGCCGGGCTCCCTGCACCGCCCGCCCCGAGCCGGGCCCTGACCCCCGCGCATGCATGCATTTTAAAGCTCGCTGCCAGCCGCACAATGCTGCGCTCCGAGAGAGCCCCTGACAATGAGAAAAAAGCCTCTTTCATCCTCTTCAGTTTAGAAGAGCTGTGAATGCACAAACAGCCCTTATTTCAGAGTTCTTGTGCCTTTTTAATTGTTCCCACCTTCTGTATTCTAGACAGAGTTAAAAGTGACATTAAAATCTCTGCCTTTAATCACGAGTTAGAAGCCATCTCCCATTTATACAGTAAATGTTGCTGCTTTTTTCCTCCCCGAAGCCTTAATCTATATTTCATAAACCTGAACATCTTTTCCTTTTGAATGAACGTACGATTTCATTTTTGTTTTGGCACTGGGCTATCGGGAGAAGCAGAGCCGTGCCGGGATGAGGGCTGCGAGTCAGCCAGCCCTACACCTGCTAAGTCAGATGGGTTTTTGGAAACCTACATCTGTAATGTGATGACAGCAGTAAGCACGTTGCCAGAGAGCCTCTCCCCACAGCCAGGGGTCAGGAAAGCTGATGTGTGCTTCTTTCGACACAGAAAAGTGATCATTAAAAAATTTGAAAGTGACTGTTAAAAAACCTCATGAATTTAAATTTGCACTTACCGCTCAGATATATATTTCATTAATCTACCATCATGTTTGAACTATCCATCGTTCACAAAAATCTAAAGGAAAAACTGAAAATAAATTGTAATATTATCTGATTTCTGACTGCTTCAAATGAAATGTAACATGTCCCTGTTGGAGCTAGATGGCTGCATTCCTCCAGTAGCCCCAATTCCTCTCAAGTGCAGTGGCACAGAGAGTAATGGAAAAATAAATCTCTACTGAAAATACTTAATTGGAATACTTTTTAAAAAGTCTCCGAGAACTTACATTTATCACACCGGTGAAAGCACTGAGAAAATAAATCTAATTCTGAAATGATGCATGCAACATTGCTCCAAGCACTGATCAGACCTCGGGTAGCCCCATCAGCCACACCAACTGGTTTCTATTCATAGACACTTCTCTAAAACCGGTTTGCTTCACATTTTATAATGTTTTACAATTACTTTAAAATTACACTTTGTTTCCTTAGAAGGAATCAGATATTCCCTCCTGTTTTCTGGTCAGAACAGTGTAAAGGATAAACACAGCAAAAGAAAAGAGAACTGTGAACACAAATCATGTTATTTTTTGAGTCATGCTATACTTAATAGGGGAACACTGGCAAATTGATAATAAATACTGGATGTTTTTCCATGAAAATCACAGCAACTACAACATTTTCTAAATAGGTAGCTCTTCAAATCCCCCCCACAACCTCTGTTTTGCAGATGTCAAAAGAAGCATTACACGAGTAACTAACGTGAACAGCTCAGCTGTCAATACTGAATACAGAGCACACTAACAAGCTATTAATTGATTTTTCCATCTTAATTCACCGCATTTAATTTTCAGAGTATGTTCAAATGCTTTAATAGTTGGACGTTCCGTATTGACACTAATGATCTGGCTAGATAAAAGGGGATGTTTTAAATTCTACACCCTCAGTCCCGAGGGCTGTAGCACCTTGCATGCTAAAACAGCTGCAAAATAGTTTATAAAATTACAATATTTATGCTTCACTTCCCATTAGCTTATGGGGTTTTTTCCTCAAAATTACTGTCTGAACAAAAGGAATCAGCAAACCCAAAAGATCAGATTTTGGAATCCCCTTTAAAGATACAACAAAAATAAAACCAAAATAGCATAGTTCAGTCACTAAAATAACGAAGCTTTTGGCATATTCATTATCAGGATTTTTCTCTGAACTATTTTTGCTGAGTCACATGATTGAGAACAACTTTACACTAAGACCTACCTGACCAAAATGTACCGTGATTGGTCTTCTGTCCTCTCTTAATTTTGGGTCCTTCTTCTCGACCAGTGGTGATGGTGCTGTCCTTGGCAGGGGCTCCTCCGGCGCTGCTGAGCACCCGTTCTCAGCAAAGTCCTGTGCGGTAGGAAAAGGTGAATAGCATGGCCAGGAACACTCCTGAGTGACGGGAAGGTGCACAAAGGAGACACTACAGGATAATGCTGACTAACAATTTGGATGTTGGGGGAAAAAACACCAAAGTACAGAAAAGAAAACATCATTAGAATAAAACATTTCATCCATCAGAGCTTGTACACAACCCCTCTCTCCTCCCAGTACCAGAGGTGCAAACTGGACACTCGGTAAAATGTCTGACTTGAACACGCAAAAGCCAGGAAGTGCATGTGGAGGAAAAAAACATAACTCGGATTTTGTTTTAGAAATGAATTCAACAGAAGCCCAGGGACAGGGCATTCTGCTCATTGTAAACCTAAATGAACTCAGTAATTCCATTAATGTACTGCACAGTATTATCCATAGCAGAACAATTACTGGTGGAAGTGGCAAAGAGAGATGGAACTCAGAGCTTAGTTAGCTTTGCATTTCATCTTGGAGCCTGTGTGCACTGAATATGCCTCCAGGAGAGGGTACAACACCAAGGGTTGCCTGGCAGAATACTTTTTGTTTGCTTTGACATTAGTTCTCATCTCCAGAAGTGAAGTGACCCACCAGCCCAGGTGAGAGGACTTGGCAAGTGCAGGCACAGAGTGTGTAATACAGGTTCTGAAAAAGACAAAGGACACATTCCTGCAGACACCAGGAATCAGAGAAGGAGCAAAGAGTTTGAAAGTGAGTTGAGAAACAGTCTGTAACACAGTGGGCCCCAAACCTTACATCTCCGCAACAATGCCAAGGAAATAATGCTGGGTAAATATGGAGAGAAGGCTGCAGAGGCTGGAGCTCTGCAAGGCTGACCTGAGGGTGGCTGCTGCCACCGGCAGGGCTTTGATTCCCTGACCTCTGACATGGCCCCGCGAGCCCCTGGCTCGCTCAGGTACAATAATGAGCCGTGTAAGCTGATGGCCAATTAGAAATGGTTCCTTTGGACACACACTGACCTAATGTGTTTAGGTCAAATGAAACAAAAAGCTGGATGGACTTTCTAAGGAGCTTTGTCTGCTCCACAGAGAAGATGAGACCCCTCTTTAGATCCAGCTGGTAGAGCAGTGGTTCCCCAATACGGGCATAAGGATCATGGGGAATTAACAACTTGTTAAGGTCAAACTAGAGAGAAAAACTTTTTCTTTCCCCCGCCCTTCAGCTGCACAATGCCACCCTGTCTTGAAAAGGTACAACAAAGTCCTCCGAATTAGTAACAAAGAGCCCCAAACAAGGCATTGACAAGAAACCAGAGTGTCTGTCAAACTCCTGCTCCAGCTCCTGTCAGCAGAGCCCCCTTGGAACCCACTCAGCTTGGGATCACACAGCCCATGGCAGCACCACTGCCTGCAAAGGCACTAAACACAAACCCTATTTACACATTTCTGTGGGGTGAAGGCACGCTGGAAGTGCCTGGAGCTGCCAAAGCCCCAGCACCCCCAGGGCCACCCAACCTGCGCTGAGCAGGGGCTGATCCTGGCCCTGCAGAGCCGGGGCTGTGGCTCTAAGCCAGGCAGCACACAGCAAAACACCTCCCCAGGCAAATCCCCAAAGAACCAGAAAAAGGACACAAAAATTTGGACATGAGAGTAATGGGAGGAGATAAAAGATAGAGAGATTAAGCCATTAAGCAAAATCCACTCAGATGTGTAACGATCACTGCAAATCCTTGGGCTTTTACTGCTATAGATTGCCTCTACTTTTCTGATTATATAATTGCATATAAAAGTTACCATGTTCCTAAAGCCTACTTCCACCATGTTTGGTCCACAGACTTCCAATGAAACCACAATATATTTTTTTAAAAATTGATGAATAAAATATGAGCATTAAATGATTTGATTCCTTTCTGTTTTTTCAACATCCCCAAAAGACAAACAAATAATCAATATAGCTTCACTCATTAAAGCAAAATCTGCTTCACAAAAGTTTGTTTTCTATCTTCAATGAAAACACATTTGAGTTAAAAAAACAGTGAAATCTGATCTTAAATTTTGTAATAGACTGCAAACACTGGCTAGGGAGGAGCAAAACACATTCTGAATGTCTTGAACGTTGTGCAGGTTGTGTTATAAAGCTCTAAATTAGTTGTTCCTAGAATACCAGGCCACACAGGGCTCTAGTAACTAAAATTATGTTGAATATATTAGTGCCAAGCACCCAAGCATTTATATAAATTGTCTTAGCCAGAGCTTTCAGTAAGTTCCATTCTCCTGACTGAAAGTTGAGGATGGTACCATTCATATTCCTCCTTCTTCCTAATTCTATGCAGTTAAGCTTCAAATGAGCCACTAACAGAGGGACTTGACCACCACCGGTTGGTTTGTGAGATGGAAAGAGGCAGCCTTTGCAAAAAGGGAAAAAAAAAAAAAAAAGGGAAATGAAAAAGAAAAAAGAGAAAGGAAAAAAAAAAGAGAACTGTATCAAAACTAAAATAAAGCTACCAGGCTGTATCTATTAACAATTATTTGCTCTCACTCATAAGAATCCTCTGAAAACTATTTCTGTTTCTTTGAAATACTGCACCACAAATGAACAAGGGATGGAAATGGAGCACCATTCAATCTCCACTATCATATTAAAGAAGGACCTTACACACACCACAGTGACCTCTCAACAGGTCAATCCTGCATTTCTCATTTGCAATTCAAACCCAAGACTGGAGCAGACCAAGGGCAAAATGGGCTCTTGATTATATTTAAGAGGTCACCATTGCTATGCAGAGTTGGAGGAAGCAGAACCTCCAGCTTTATTGCATTTTTAAATTCTGTCTTGTACTGAAGCTGCTCAGATTTGGCAGCAAAAACTGGAAAAGGGATGTTTATATTTGACTTTTCCTTACCAGGGGCCTGCATACTTGCTATATTAATAATAGAAAATAGTATTTTAAAATGCAGTGGATAGTAAGTTCAGTTTAAAAATAACCTTAGGTTACTCTTAGAAGATGAAAGATTAGCATCCCAAATTTGGCAAAAGATAAGTATTTAATGATACCAGAATGTCAGACAGTTAACACTTACACATGTTAGTGAGGAAACACAGGATAAATACAATGGTCTTACATAAAAACTGGGGAGGATGCATTAATAGACCTGTGCATAACAGACCCATAATGGAGCAGCACAGACATTTAGATTAAAAATGAGGGTGACCAAAACAACGTTTGCTATTTTTATCACTTTTAACAGAGCAATCCCTAATTTTAGTTACCTTCCTATCTGCATTCACATGGAGAAGAGGATGGGATAGAAAAGGAGAGAATAATTAAGGAAGGAGGGGTAGAGCAGTGTGTGTCACCTACTCACAGCTATCTCTTGTGAAAGCCTATGTTGAACAATCATGTTCAAGCATCTCACTTACAGATACACCACATAAGGAAGGTGAAACAAAATTGGGCCATTTACTTGTAAATGTTATGTGTGTTTTTTAAAGAGATGCTTGCTGCTTGACAGACCAGGAAGACAACAATAATAATAATAAAACAAAGCAATGACTGAATGAGGCTTTTCTCAGACTCATATACAAATGTCACACAACAGCACACAATTCTATTAGCATTTAAAATGCAGGAAAAAAATCTGGTCATGTTACACAGCTCCAGCTGCTTTAGAAACACACAGAAGGCCAAGGATTTTATTATTTAGGAAGGTTATGGCCAGAAGTGAAACACATGTAAGGACATAAAGAAATCCATGTACAAGAAAACTGCTTCATGCTTCTATTGTTTTCAAATTGTACCTACAGTGGTAGACTAATGTAGACTAATAAAATAACATAAAAGCATCTGAAGCAACTTTATCTTCCCTGAGATTCTGCACAATGTCTGGACTGTTCAGAGAGGGACCAGCAGCTGGAATGTACACGGGCAATTCCTCACTTTGCAGCCTGGCTGCACAGAAACCCCTTTGGAGGAACAGGCTGGTGGCAGGTTCAGGTGCATTTCTGTCTGCCCATCAACATTTACATTACCTTATTTTAGAGGATGGTCTAGAAATTTAGAGAAGAAATTTACAGAGGGAGCACAGGTTAAAAAAAACCCACCCTAACTCCTATGAAACAAACTGAATACAAATTTCTGAATAAGAACTTCAGTTCCCCCAGCAGGTCAGCTGCCTGGCTTTCTCCATGACTCTGAGAGCTCTGATGCACACAATAAAGGGAATATCTGCAATAACCCATCTACTCATGAGGTGTGTGCCAGTGTGACTGCACCTCTGGTTTAAAAGGAGCAGCTGGGATTGGATAACACATCCTCAAACACAGCGCAGCAGTTGGGAATTGCGCTGTTTATAAACACACACAGATCTGGGAAACAACAGTTTGGGTATTTGTTCCTGCAGTAATTCCAATTGGCAATGGACACCAACTCTAATAAATTCTTTCCTGTCTGAACTTTGCAGCAGACATTCAAGAAATGCAGAAATCCCCTTCCCAATGGCAGACAAACATGATGCTATTTTTCCTGACTGACTACTGCAAAAATAACAACTATTTGCCATTTGCAAAAGGTTCCCTGCCAGAACTGCAGGGAAGTGCTCCCAGTCCACATGCAGTCCCCTCACAAAGTGCCCCAGCACGAAGGACAGGAACAGGACCTTTGAGTGCAGAACTCTCAATTTTCTGGCTTTTGTGGGTTTAAGTCAGAGCTTTAATGTATTTGAAGACAATTTTTTTTTTTGTCTGTGAATATTTATAAGTGTGAAAAATCCAGGACAGCTGGTAATGCATTTTGAAGTGTGCTAACAACACTGTATCAAACAGCTTCCTATTGATCACATCATGCTTTCAGTGGCTAAGGATTTCAGACGTGGTGCTTATACATTTTGAATAAGAACTTCAAGTACCTTTTGCTTCAAGCGGTTTTTCACTTCTTTTATTCCCATTTTTGCATGATCTTTTGCCTGCATGAAAAATTAATTTAAGTTAAAATTCCCTTCTATTTCCAGCAATGACTGAGTTTGTTTTCAGTTAATAAAAATGGCAATAATAAAAAGATGTAACAGGATACTGAAAACACATTAAAACAAACAGAAAGCTAAAAAGACCCCAAATAAACAAAAAACACCACCCCACCTTTGTTGCAAAAATTTTGTTTTCCCTGTTCTGAAGCTACAGACATCTTTCATCTTTTTGCATTCCACAGCCTTAGTGCTCCCCAGTAAGTATTTATCTTTGCTATAAATATCTTCTCTTCCACACTGGCAGCGAGCCTGCAAACGCTCCTTGCAGTGCTCTGGATGCCAGCTCCATTTAGTAGAGCCAATCTCATCCTACTCCTCTCTCTCAGCCTGGAGGAAGGCAGGAAAAAACCAAAGTTTGAATGGTTATCTCAATGCTGTTTGTAGCATTATTTCCCAGAACTGAGCATATAAGAAATCCTCACTTGTTTCTGTGCTGTTTGATCTGGCAGAGTGGAGCTGGCAGCCACACACGATAGCACAGCAACACACCAGCTGTTTGTTAACAGCACTGAAAACACTTCCATTTAAAGAATAACTCAGTAAGTTGGGCTCTAAATAAGCAGGTATAAGAAATCTCCAGGGAAAATTAATTGACATTTAGAAAAGATGGAAACAATTTGGAAAATGAGAGGATTCCCTTATTTCGATGAAGCTGCAAGCAGGGAAAGCTGAGGTAACAATGATTTCCAACAGAGCAATGATGAGATGGTAGAGCTGCCTAGCAGAGCACACAGGCACTATTTCCCAGAAAGAGTTCTGTGTAATAAATGGAATTTATCATCTGTACTTTCAAAAGAACTCACAAGTTCCCATTGTCCTTTGCATTTCAATTGAGTTTAAATTCAAAATGACTTTTTCATTTAAATTTGAAATTTGAATGAATGTATATGTTGAGTAATTTTGTGAGTCCAATAAAAATGGATGTAAATCTTGAGTCTCATTTGAAAGGTTAAAAGAGAATTGTAATTAGACTCTTATCTCAGTAGTAAGCCAGTACTCAATACTTACAAACTTATAGACAGTCTTCATGGCAGGGTTAGCCTTGGTCTTTACTGTGTTTAAAATGGCTCCACTTCCTTTCTGTAATTATAGTAACAAGGGAAGAAATGTTATCAAAGCTCTATAAAGCAAACAGCAATCTAAAATCCACCATTCTTAACTTAAAATAACAGAGCATTAACTACCTTTATTGGCAGAGCTGCGTATGGAAAGGTCAGATTTAAAGAAAAAGACCCAAGGAAAACCCCTCTGAATGTCGCTCTGCTTTTGCCCAGTTCTGTTTAATACAGCACTTGTCCAAGGGACAACACATGTGCCTCCCAAGAGCCCCTGCCTTACATGTCTCACAAACTCCTGTGCTTCCACTTACCTCAGGGGTGTCCTGTTATATTCTACTAAAATCCTAACCAAGTTTAAAACACAAGTATCCTGAGCAGCACTCAATGTCTGAGCCAGAGACTGTGCCTCAGCAGAGCTTGTACATTCAGTCTCAAGAGGGAAGATCTGTTTTTATTTTGCTCTTTTCCTTTCCCTCATCCTGCAGTCCTGTTTATCATACACATGGTACCTTTTTAAGACACAAGTAGTTGATAAAGGAATAAACTGAGGGGAAATTAAATCTAACTCCAGTCACAAACATTAGTTCTAGAACAGCTGAATTTCATGTCAAATGAAAGTGATTATACTATAATCAAAGTGATACATCAGCTGCAATGATCTGTTCATTTGGTTGATGTTTCACACCCCTGCCATACCCCATAGACTATTGCTGAGAAACACAGGACAAGGTCAGAACCCAAGGAATTAAATCCTGGCTAATGTTGTATTTCCTATTTTCAGTGCAAAATTACATTTCCAGAGATCAAATTTGATTATATGCAATTAGATGTAAACAGCTTTAAGATTTACTGTCTCTGTCCATACATGAAAACCTTCAAGAGGCCAAGCCCAGTTCAGGGTGTCTGGCAGGATCTCATGTGCTTACCCTCACTGTGGACAGCCACTGGTGGTACAGTTTGTCGCTACCTACAGAGAACCAAACACAAACAAACAAATTATAACCCTCTGCTGAACGGAAAACAAGCTCAAAATGTGAAGTGTTGACACTTAATGTTTCTGAAGCGTGGACAGAACAGGACAGCTAGCCTTTTCTTTCAGGAGAAAATATAACATTGATGAGGGATTTACACTTTCCTTTTTTCTCTGTGTTGTCTCAGACACTGGAGAACACAGATGTTTCTAAGTTCACTAAAAGAAGTCTGAGGTGGTTCTGGGTAAAGCTAAGATTTTTCCTCCAATGCAAGAATTCTTAGTTGTACTTTATTAAAGTTGTAATGCTGAGTATTTTAAAGACTGAACAGACATTACTCAGACTACAATACATTATTCAAAGCTCTTGACAGAGGAAAGAACAAAAATTTAAGACATTTCAAGCCACCAGGATCACTAAGCCACTGTTATTTACCCAGCAGCAATGAGCAATTACATCATGATAACCCACAAATGGTAAGCCAACGAAAGTGTCTGAAATTACATTAAAATATTTATTACCTGCATATTCTCCCATATTTATCTCCTCTTCAAACACATCGCTGAAGCCCTCCCCAGAATTCAGCAGATCCAGACGCCCATCAATGAACTGCATCAGCATCAAAAGACAGAAACACATCAACCATCCCATTCTTCATCTTTTCAGAAAGACTTTATCCTTCATTAGCTGGAATAACCTCATTGTTTGCATTGGGTAGGAACTCAGAATGAAAATACCAACCAAACTGGCACGATGTTGACCACTGCCCAAAGGTGTGTGCCTTTGCTAAAAACCAGTATTCATGCTTGGCGACACATACATGGTTTTTAGCTGCCCTAAAGCAGTAGTTCTATGTTCAACAGTAATGTACTTCCTGGACAAAGTTTACAGGACATATCTTGGGTCTAGGCATGCTCAAATAAGAAAAACCCTTGAGCTCAGAGACCATTAGTGGGAAAACCCATCCACCTCTCAATATCCAGAAAGCCTCAGCACCTGAGTCTGACAGAAGGCAGCAAGCAGGAATTGAGTTGCTGCATTACAGGATCAAGGGATACAGAAACAGCCCCCCAGACCCCAGCTGAATTGTTACAGAATCTGCTTCCCATGCATCACTGGAGGCAGTACCTGCTTGAAGAGCTGGAGCTGGATGGCGTTCTGCAGGAACTGCCTCATCACAGATGAGCGGTGGGACACGAACGCTTCTTCACAGAAAGTGATGGGCTCACCCTGGAGAGTTCAGAGCATTAAACACTCAAACAGCCCTGACTGAGTCCCTCTGAATCCACTGCCTGCACCTGACCTACTTCCCTTCCAAAGTACACAGGTAAGGAACATAGGCCGTACCTAGCAGTGAGTAAACTGTACGTTATTTGCAGGTCCCAACCACAGGAAGCAAAGACAGGCTGGAAAATTTCAGATCATCAAAATAAACCAGGGTGGCTTTACACACTTTTTGCTAAAGCTGAAGAACTTTGATCATTCAAAAAGCTAATATTACTTACTGTCCCCACAATATGACACATGGTCGTGTGAATTCTGTATATTCTGCTTATTTGCCTCAGCAGAGCCAGCACAAACAGGTCAGGAATGTCCACTCTGTTTTCTCCACAGCTCTGAAAAACTCATATTGGAGGAGTGGAATTTCCCTTTTTCACAATCTTGTTGTCAAAAGACAGAAATTGTTTTGCAACTCTACTTTTATCTGATTTTAATGAGTTATGGTAATGCTGAAGTCTGCTGTGTATCTACCATAAGGGCACCAATTTCTTCCACACTTCTACAAATACACAACACAGAAAGCAAATATATTTATTGACTTAAAAACAAGTAACAAAGAAGGACTAAATTATATTGATGTATAATTATTATGGATGCTCATACTAAAATATATTTGGACTCTTCATCTGTTGAGTATTCAAAATTAACATCACAGAACAGTCTTGAAGTACTCCCTTTAAAAGGATGATAGTCTATTCCTGAAAGTTTTAAATTAGTAATTTAATTTACCACTGGCTGTGTAAATCAAGAAAACAGGGCTGCTAAAATGATTGAGGACGAGGATCAATTGCAAATGTCTGTTTTAGCACAGGATGGGTCTTCTTGACAGAGGGAAGTCACTTTCTTAGGAGAGTTTCTGTCACCCCTTGCTTGAGCCAGTGAATTTCCATGGATTTGGAAAAAAAAAGGCAGGTTTCTTATGTGTTAGTTACAGTTCCAGGTTAACTTATTTTAAAAATAATAACCTGGTTTTGATTTACTTTTTTTACAGGGAAAACCAAAATCACTAGATGCTTTCCACACAAGAAGCATGAGTGTGAAAAAGCCACTTTTTTTCTTCTTTGCTGTGGCTTTGCTCTCATCAGAATAAAGAATTATAAGACACTTCATTATAAAATAAACAAAGAGAAAATGTTTGGAAGAACAGGTTAGGCTGTTATGTGTGTGTATATGAGACACTGGTGCCAGTCTCCAGGACACACATGACAAAGGCTCTGGCTCCAAAGCCAAGGTGTGCACTGTCTGAAAGGTTTTACTGCATTTAAATGACTAACAGCTGTCTTCTAATTGACCAGTAGGAGAAAAGCTTTCCCACTAACTTCAGATACTGAAATGTAAAAAAGGATCCCTGGAAAATATTTTATCCATGTCAGAAAAATCTGAGTGAAAAGAGCTGGGAGGAATGGGTAAAGAGAAATGCTGATTAGTTTGCTAGGACAGACGTTCATCCAAGGAAGGTTTAGCTTTTGTTTAATCCTCATTTAAAAAACTCTTCAGAGGAAACAAGCAGCCCTTCCTATCACCTACCAGAATGTGGCACTTCCCCTATGGCAGAGTGGAGTGTGGACACGGTGGGATGAGCTGAGCCCTGCGAAGGGGAGGCGGCTGTGCCCTGCTGCACCTCCAGCAGCTCCTCTTGCCCCAGCAACACACACCCTGCAGCTGGGGCACCAGCAGTGTTAGCACACTTCCTTCCCAAAGTACTAATGATTGAGTTTGTTCATTAGCTTGATTAGACCTTTTGACTTCTTAAGAGACAATTCAGGCTCAACGGCTGCTGGATGACAGAAAAAACTTTAATCATGGAGGTCAAGCGTGAGCTTTGCAGCTCAGAATGCATTAGTGCCTTCCACCCTCGCTGACCTCCCCAAGGTGCACACTGTTCCACCCCCAGCCACAGCTTCAGGACAAAAAGACAAGCTGGACAATAAGACCATTTTCCTGGCAGATCTGGTTAACTGTAAATTATAAAGCTAATCAGCTCTGCTTTTACTGACAAGTGACATTATACATGAGGGGACGCCTGCAGAACTGCCGATATGGTGTGAAATGAATGCTCTTGTTTGCATGTGAAACAACTGAAATAACTTGTCCTGAAAAACTCATCAACTCCTAAACTTGCTGGTTCCAACAATTAAAATTTAGCCCTTCATTCATCAACACCCTAAATATCCATTAATCCCCTTTCCAACTGTAAATGCCTAACAGAAGCTAAAATATTGCTCTGCAAAGGCTCTTAATGGGTGCACAATATGACTCGATGAGGAATTTGACTTGATCTGTAATGTTGCAGATAATTCACATCTATTGCAAGACTGGATCACAGAATTATTATTACAAAAATGTACACATCTAATCTGCAATCTTAACACAAGAGAAAAAAATCTAAAATGTAAGATTATGATTCCAACATGCACTTTAAAAATAGGTGCCTTTTCATTATGTCTTTGCAAATCTCCCTTTATATAACTATTTCATATTCATCTGGCAGAATGAAGTTCATCAGGGCAGTGCAGCATCTCATGACCTCTGAAAAAGCTGAAAAGTTTCAGCCCACATCTGGTCTACTGCCAGACCTATTTTTAAACTAGAATTCTGTTACATTCTAAAATAATGCTTAAAACTACTTAAGGCAGCAACTGGAAAGCAAAAGGAGTCTAGGACTTATTTCAGACTGTTCTAGAGTTTCAGGAAACCTGCTGTTTAATTTTAAGAAGCCATGATACAAATTAAAAGATAAAGCCCAATTTTGTTTAGTTATGCTGTAAAAAATTCCACCATGATCCCTCATATTTTAAGGAAATCGCTTTCCCTCAGCTCACTGATTATGGCAGGAACTTTCAGACTGAGTATAAAGGACTGAAATATGTGGAATAGAAGACATATCAGATGAGAGAAGGACACAGAAGAAGGGACAGAGTCAAACACAAAGGATGCTTCTGGAAAGACACAGGAGCTCAGAGATGCCATGGAAATCCAACTACTCCCACTCCTGCAGAAATGTGCACCTGGACAGAGTGCTCTGAAGGCAGCACATGACTGCTGGACAGAGCAGCAAGGTAATAAAGACAGGGGTCAAAGGCAGGGATCAAATTAGGTCAACAATGAGAATCCCTCACACAAAGATTTCATAAAACTTGATTTTACAAAGGGGAAAAAACCCAGCCAAACGATCACCAACCCCAAGAAGCCAAGCTGAAGACTGTTTAGACTGTTCCCAAAACTGTGCTGTGGAAGGCAGGGGTGCTGAGTGTGTGTGAGCACGGGCAGCACGTGGTGCAGGTGATGGACCCTGGATGTGCCTTCGGAGCGTGCGGGTGCTGCGGCACAGCCTCGCTGCCAAACACGGCACAGCAGCATGCAGCGACACTCGGGGCCTCCAGGCACACAGCGGGAAAGCTGCAAGTCCAGTGCCACTGTAGCACCCCCAGTACACAGCAAACCAAGGGCAAACAAGCCAGACACATATCACCCAATTATTGTTGCAAATAACCGTACCCTGTACTGCCAATGGTTATGCTGCAAATGGCAAAGTAAAGCCAGTAGGGGTATTCCAGGACTCATCAGCCTTAATTCCATCCAGAATGATAAAGCGAGGCAGGAGAATGATCTGGATATACACGACTGTCAGCAGCAACCAAAGGCAAGGCACTGCTCTGCAGGCCTGTCCAGAACTGTGATTGCCATGTCAGGGGAAGATTAGCTCATCACAGCTGAAGAAGGATCATCAGCCAGCCAGCGGGATTCCATAAAGAAAACCTGAAATTGATGACAGACCCCTGATAGGACATCGGCTCATTCAGCTTGCAATTGCTCTGACAAATAACCTCCCATAACCATTCCATACGTCCAGCACAAGAGAGCTCTTTGCATCCACCTCAGTCATAATGGGATCCAGAAAGCAGAGATCAAGCTCTCTGAATTAAGCAAATGATACCAGAGCTTTATTAGCATCTCAAGATGCAGCTCAGGAACAAAGAAATCATGTGTTCAGTGATTTGACCACACGCCTTCTAAGGAAAACTACATTCAGGTTCTGTTCAAAAAGAGGCTACCAGTTCTGATAAATGATTATTGCCAAGTGCAATCTTGAAAAGCATATTTAAAGCCACGTATCACAAATACAGACTGCACTGCCCAAACACGTAGCGTCTCACATAAGAGCTCAGCTCCATCACCAGCCCAATTTCAGACATTTGTTTTGGTTCCTCACTACGGAATACAGCCTCTGGTATAGACACAAAAGGGCACAAAACCAACTTCAAATAAAAGATGAAACTGTCAAAAAATGTGTAAGTAGAGAAAACTTCTACGACAGGGCAGTGGTTTTGCTTCTTCTTTCAAACTCTCTTAGTTCATCAGGATACCTGACATTTTCATGTTAGACCAAGTAAAACAACTCACACTCACACAGCTAATGAAAGTACTTCACTATAATGGAGCCAGCCAGTTTTCCAAGTGTTTATATGGCTAATTCCAGCCATTGCCTGCCCTGATTTCATCACCTACAGCAGCCAGACACTTCCTATCCCTAAGCAACTGCTACAGCTTCCTAGCTGGAACTCAAGCAACAAGCCTGGCACATGAAGTGCAAAGAAGCCAGCAAGAAAGCATTTAGGGCTGGGAGGAAAAAGAAAGGAAAAAAAAATTTAAAAAACCACCATTTCACAGATCAAGAATAGAGGCATGAAAATAATAAGTAACTTGTACACGGTCACAAAAGTCTCTGGCAGAGCCAGGGAAAAGAACCGAAATTTCTTTAATCCCTGCTCAGTCCCTTAAATACAAGGCTATTCTTCCTCTTCCTACTTGATATTGTGTCAATGCAGGAGTGTAGGTGTTGAAAGACTAACAAAAGGAAAGTAATAGTATGGTATTATGAGCTGAGAAACCTAATCTTTATCAGATACAGCAAATCTCTATGATGCTGCCTGCACTGGGAACTCTCT